CTTCCTCCTCCTCCTGGCTTACGCCGGGGGGAAGCCGGCGCCTAGGGGCAGCGACCCCTGGCCCGGAGCCGACCCGCTCCTCCTTGCAGACCTGGCGCCCCCGGAGCGCGCCCTCTCCTCGGCGCCTCGGAGGGGACTCGTCGGGTCCCCATCCTGGCCGCGAGGGAGCGCCGTAGGGACAGGCCGGCTTTTGCCTGGACGTGCTGGGCAGGTGGTGGGATTGCCTCGGGCTTGGACAACAGGGTTTTAAAGCACGTGTCTGTCTCTGTCGTTTTCACTTTTAGGGTTTTGATTGGGCGAGGGCACAAAATACCCACTTTCCCCTTCTCACCGAGGAAGAGTGGGAGAAAGGGTAAGTAAGGAATGACCAGGGGTGGAAGCAACTGAGACCCGATCCTGCGAAAGAGCCCCGGGAAGCTAGCCAGGGAGAGAAGGTCTAGAATCAGAACTGCCCTTGGGGAACTTGGGCCCCGATTTCACCTTCATCAGGAATCGGGGACCCACCTTCAAAGGTCACAGGCCCCAAGCCCAATTTTCAGGTTTTGGAGTCTGTAGAATTGGCTGGGAGTTTAACAGCTTCGACATGAATCCCTTTCAGCCATTTGACCTGTCAGAAAACTGTCCTTACTTTTCACTTCTAACTTGGACCATTGGTCCTCTGGTTGTCTGTCTCTGGCTCATATCTTGTTAGCCGACTTTGACTAATCCCTGTGACAGTAGTGTTAAGTAATCCAGGTCCTGCTTGATAATTAACAGGAACCCCTCCAGGGTTCTTTATATTTCAGAAGGGGACTCATGAAAAAATCCTACAGTACCCTGAAACAGTATCCCAAGTATTGAATTTCTTGGGGATCTTCTCTTAAGCTTATAGAAGAAGCTATTTTGAGGGGAGAGAAATGACCAGCCTGGGCCTTATTTCTCTAGACTTTTGCTTTTGGTATCTCCTCACAAGCATTCAGTTGGCTTCTGAAAAGTTGCTTATCAGTATGTTGACATCCTCAGAGGTTTACTGTGATTTTCAGTGTGGTCTCTCTCATTGGTTCTTCTCTGGGACTTTTTCATCACTGCTTCAAAACACTGCTTCCCTCTCTCCTTACAGTGAAGTGAAACACAGCTTCCTTCTTTTCTTTTCTTCTTCTTCTTTTTTTTTTAACACAGCTCCTTTCACAGGGTTGAGAACCCCTTATGTGTGCTATGTGTCACATAGAAATAAACGTTTTAAATTAGTTAAAATTCAGAGTAGATCCAAGCAAGAACGTAAACCACATTCTTGGGCACTTACACAGAAAAACCCAATGACCTCTATATTCATCTTGACATTGACTGCCTTTTTCTGAACCTGACTTCTTATCTGTGCTCAAGTGATGGGTGATCATATCATTTACTTTATAAAAAACCAGGAAGTAATTGTTTCCTGAGATGTGTTCATTCATTGCTTCGGTAGATAATTTACCTCTTTCCTACCATGTGCTGGCCATTTAGATAAAAGTAGGATGGTGAGGATGATGACACTGTGGGAAATGGCCGTTTTGGGGCTGGCCTTTCACCAGTTTTTTGTGGATTTTTCTGAATACTTACATGTTAATGTGCAGGACCTTCCCTGCACTACTGATCTTATTGGTCTGCAGGTCTATACAGTGTTGTAGGAGGATAGAAGTATTGTCTTTCTAGTACTTCAGTAATAAATCTTGCAAATATATTCCAGTTTTCTAATATAGTAAGTAGATTAGGATATCTTTTTGAATGGTTCCGTAAGAAGGACTTAAATTAGAAAACATGGAGAGTGTTTAGGGTGGTGTACTTGGGAAAGTAAGTACTAAGGTAGATCATTAACTTGCATGAGTTTCTGGGCATTTAACCTCATTTTAAAATCTAAGCTGGAAAAGTTCTTTTGTCTTTTTTTGGTTTCAAGAGTTACATAAGGTCTGCTGGGTAGAGTGGCTTATGTCTGTGATCCCAACACTTTGGGAGGATCTCTTGAGCCTAGGAGTTCGAGACCACCCTGGGCAGTATAGTGAGACCACATCTCTACAAAAAAAAAAATTAGCCAGGCGTAGTGGCATGCATCTATAGTCCTAGCTACTCGGGGGATGGAGCAGAATGATTGCCTGAACATTGGAGTCGAGGCGGTGGTGACCATGATCATGCCACTGTACTCCACTTTGGGCAGCAGAGGGAGACCCCTCCAACTCAAAAAAAAAAAAAAGTTACATAAGGTCAAAACAAAGTTATCCAGAATTCGATCTTGCAGGGATATGAAAGAAAGTCTCCTGTGAGCCACTCTCAGATGACAGCTGTTAACAATTTGGTATTTATTCAACTTTTTGTTATATATACACATACTAAATACATAGCTTAATTATATGTTAAACAGGCATAGAGCTTAGTTGTATATCGGTAGATACGAAAAATCATATATATGTTTATGTACAAATGACTATTATTTGGTAAAATTATAAAAGTCTTTCTTTTTCTCCATCACCTTGGCTACTTACTACCACTTCTTCCTCTACCCCAAATCTTCATGTAGAAATAGCATACCTTTTCTAGTCATTAGAAATGAGGGATTCCTGGCTCTTACTTAATTAGCTGTGTCACTTTGGGTCGCTAAGACTTCTCTGCTTCTTCAGTTCTCATCTGTCAAAACAGAACAATGAATATATAAAAAAGAATGTGTTAAAAACAGTGCCTGACATATAGGTACTGACTTTTAATTTCCCTCGCTATTGATCTGATCACTTGTCACTTTCTTGTGATCTTCCTTTTGATTGTGGAAAGTAATCCAGTACTTTCCTATAGATGCTAAGCCTTGTAGGTGTTTCCATTTTCACAGGGGATCACCTGCTGTATCTGATCCTAGAATTTCTGGGACAAGGACTGACACCTAATGTGGCCCTATCAGATCATTCCACAGCCCTGGATAAAGGGTGTCAGTTTGAAACATGAAGGGAAAGATTTCTATAATGTGTTTAAAAAGCTCTGACACTGTTCTCAAAGTGAGAAAGACATACTACCACATTTAGCTGAGTGCTTAAACTTAGGATTTCTATTTCAGAAATGTCTTTGGTTTATAAGAATTACAATAAAAATGCTGATGCTTCATGTCCAAGCTGTCATGATTTTGCCAACTTGTGGGTTTAATATACAGCTAAGCTGTGTATTTAGTGTATCTAATACTGCTCTGGAAGCTGAGAAAGACAAGTCCACAGACATCTGATTTCACACCAGACACCTGGTTTCACTTTGCTGAGGAGTACGTTTTGTCAGTAGATTATAGGCATATCAACTGTACTGCTGTAGTTTGTGGTATTTCTATCATAAGCTCTGGTCTATAGGGTTTAATATGATGTTTTATTCAAATGACAGTAAACTAAAAATGAGCACCTGGTCGGATGTGCACACTTCCCACAGGTATCGTTTAGTGTCATTGTTCTTACAAGTTAACAAGGTGAAATACTTCTATTCTTGGTCTTTATATTGAGTTTTTGTGGAAACAAAAATATTTTTAAAGGAAAGCCTCACTTAAGAAACTGTTGTAGCCAGGTGCAGTGGCTCACATCTATAATCCCAGCACTTTGGGAGTCCAGGGTGAGAGGCTTATCTGAGCTCGCGGGTTCGAGACCAGCCTGGGCAACTTGGTGAGACCTCACCTCTACAGTAAATAAAAAAAAATTTAGCCAGGCATGGTGGTACGTGCCTGTAGTTCCGGCTACTTGGAAGGCAGAGGCGGAAGGATCACCTAAGCCCAGCAGGTTGAGGCTGCAGTGGCCGTGAGCAGCATGCCACTGCACTCCAGCCTGGGTGACAGAGTGAGATTTCAATTAAAAAAAAATTCATTGTATTTCAGAAGTTCATTATCAAGTTTATTGTTTGTAATGTTAACAGTATACTTATTGGAATAAAATAACAAGTGGCATTTAGATTTGGAATCAGAATCCCAAAGCTTTTTTAACTTATTGTGTGCCCATTATATTTGGTGGTATTGTAGATGCTAACCTACATTTATTATAGTGTTTCAGAGGCAAGTGTATTCTGAGTTCCAACCAAGCATGGCTGGACCACATCCCTCTCCATTCCGAGGTAGTGAGGGGTATAGAAAAACTCTGGAGGCTGTTCTTGGGTTTTCAGATGGGCTCCGTCATTGCTTAGCTGTGTAACCTTTAAAATGTGATTCAGTGAGTTTGTAAAGTAGCACACTATCTGATACAAAGTAGTTCCTCAGTAAATATTAGTTTCGTTTTTCTTCTAGGTCACAAGAACAAAAACTCTCTGTCCCTGCTCCGACCCTTTGTCCCTGCTCCAACCCCCCACCTCCACCCCCTGCCACCAACCCTTCAATCCAGGCTAACCTACTGGCCAGAATTTGTGGCTCCAATGGAATGGAATTACCTTGGAATTTGGGATTTGGTAGTGGGCACTGGGAAAAGGGTATGCAGAATATGTCAAAGGAAGAGGGATGGTGATCTGAGAGGAAGGTGCCCTTTTTGACTCAGTGCATGGACATAGGCAAATGAATGACTCTGCTTATAGAACCAGCTTTTTCTCTTGCTTTTCTGTTGATCTTTGTCAGCTGTTCCACTGGAAACTCTTACTTTCTTATTGTCTGCTTAGCCCAATTTTTAAGTTTTTTTTCTTTATCATCTTGATACTACCTAAATAACTGTATTTTTCTATGGGTAGAAGTTACAGATGTCTGTACTTTTTGAGATTTTTTTTTTTACTCGGAAGTCCAGTTGATTTTTGTTGGCCTATATAGTTAATTCATAATCACCTCTCTTTCTTTTTTATTATATCGGTGTGCATTGAACTAGTGATGAGGACATAAAAGATGAAAAGCTATTGTCCATTTGTCCAAGACCGAGGATCGTGAAGTTTAGGAGGACTATAGACATCTGGACCAACAGTTCAAATACAGTGTGCTATTTGCTGTAATGGTACAAGTGCAAAGGAAACCTAGCAAGAGCTCTTGATTCCTGCCAGGAATACCAGGGAAGAGTTTTAGTAGTGATTGTGTTTGAGCTGAGACTTGAAAGCTGAGTAGGAGTGAGCATGTTGACAAGCATTTCCAGGTGAAGCTAACAACATGAGTAGTAGTGTAGCATTATGAGAACATAATGTGCTCTGGGAACTATGTGTATTGTGGGTCAGTTATATGAGAGTGTGAAGGGCAAGGACAGGAGTGAGAAGCGATGAAACTGGCTAGCTATTTCAGAGTGTATGTCCTATCCCATGTGTAATAGTGAGCCACTGAGGAATTGTGACTGCCGTGAAAGATCACAGGGGAGGCAGTATGCTAGGTAGAGTGGTGTGGAGTTGTATTGGGGATGGGGTTGTGACAAGATTGGAGGCCAA